AGAATTGCTTCTGGATATTGCCTGATTTTCCTGCTGGAATTTACACAGCTTTCTGCCTCTGTCTCTCCCTGTTCTGTGTTTACACTTTGAGTCATTTATTTCCCTCTCTTAGTTTGACATTCTTTCTACCATTTCAGCTGAACTGTTACAAACCTAGCCATACATGTTTCTTACTTCTAAAAACTGACTGATCTGGTTGAATCATGCTCGGCTGTATTACATTGCTGGGGAAATTGTAAATTTTACCTTTGCAGAGTCAGACATTTATTAATGTATATTCATGAGATATGAATAACTGGTCTGTGTGATTAATTAGACAGACTGCAGACAGCTGTTAAAAATATCTGAGTCTTGTCTTTTCTTACCCCATTGTTAGCAGCAAGGCAGACACTTATTTTGGGGGAAAGAGCAATAAATCTTACTTTTGTGATAAGAGGCATTAAATCCTGCTCCAGTGACACTCGCGTCTGACATGAAGTGGATGAACATCACCTCTCCAGTTGATCTTATTGGCCCAGGAGGTTCTTGTCCACACAGAGTAGCCAGCACTGGAGAAAGACTAGTGTCTCCTGAGATCAAAAGAAGGCATGTTATTGTTAAAACCAAATCAGTTCAGTTCTGCCTGTTGGTTACTGTGGCTCATGCTTTCAGGCAGCTGCTTTTCAAGATCTTCAACCTCTTATGGACTGAGAAATATTTTTATAGACAACCAAATACTTTGCTAGACTTTCCTAGTTTTATTTTACCTAACAGAATGTCTGAACATAGAGGAAGATTACTGATTTAGTGCATGTTCCCATTGCCATCTAGATTGCTTAAGAACAATGGACATAACAATTCCAAGTGCTGAGACCTTGGTTACATATCACATGCTGTTGAGGTAGGGCAAGATTGGCTTCTCACCATCTCGGATAAGAATTTTGTCATAGTTGCATGAGCTATGGGACTCTATGTCTAAGGCCAGGATATTGAACTCCACGGTGTATCCAGGAGCTCTGATAAGCCACACACAGTCAGCAAAATTTCTGTAATTCCTAGGCCAGCCTGGCGAGAAGAGGAACGATGGTGTTTCTTCAGCTGTTGCAGTCCCTCCACATTCACCTGTCAGATACAAGAAGGCAAAAATGAAAGCATCCTCTTCTTAAACTAAATGCTCCCCTCATATAATTTAAGGTCCTACAACTGAACACAATGCAGGCACAGAGACGATGTGTATAGTCACAGGAAGGCATTTCTTCAACCGCAGTTTGGACTGGGAGAACAAAGCCTGAAAATCCTGACCCATACGGATGTTCCCGTGCTAACGGGTGCAGCAATGATGTCACCTATTTTACCATGAGGACTATCCTAAGGAAAGATCTAAGCACATCTACCACAGTTTAGCACAGGTTGTGTATCAGAAAGGAATGATGAATACATAACCAATAATACCTAAACAATTTAGACCCTCTTGCAACTGAAAGACTTTTCTTCCTCCATTCCTAGTGGCTCACAGCTGTATGTTTGGACCAAAATGGAGTCCTTGCTGGGATGTCTAGTGGCTCAGTGCTCTCCCAGTAGACAGACCTATTACATACTGCCACTGTCCTGCAGAGCGCTTAAACCCATTACATGCTGCTACTATTCCGCAGAGCCCCAGGGATCCTTAATCCTTCTGTCCCCAGAAATCTGCCTTCAGATTTAGAAAGAAGACATTGCACTATGTCCTAGCTAATCTAAACTTTCTCTTGTTGAAATTGGTCAGAGAAAATCAATGGTACAAGAAGCATATGCCCTGTCCTTCCAGGAGCTATTTGTCAGAGGTACATGATCATATTGAGCATATTATCTTTATTCATGGACTTGAGGTGCATTATAGTGAAAAGTTTCATATTGCAATGGCCAGTGATTTAAGAATGGTATTTCAAAAGGTATAATTTTTCATGAAAGCATATAAAATGTTTAGCCTTCATGAAATATCTGTGTAAAGAAAAATGCCCCTCTAGAACCATGTTTATTTTTAAAACACTGTAAGACAGTATATCTGAGAGCTGTTATATATAAGCTATAAATGAACGCTTTTTTTTTCCCTACATTAGTAGCTAGGGAATTCTCTTGTGGGAAAGTTAGTTGGGAGTTTTTATAAAAAAAGTGTAAAAAAACCCCAGTAAAGCTCATTATATCACTAGCTGTATCACTTTTAACCACGCAGACCCCTGAAAACCCACCTCTAGCAATGGTGTGTGTCATGGCAGAAGCATCCACTGCATACCACTCCATAAGAAAGCCTTTTCCAGTCACAGACGAATCTGACTGGAACTGGATGGTCATCGAACTGCCAGAGGATGCAAAAGAAGCACGGTCTGTGCCACAGTATGTTGCAATAGGACGAGAATGAATGGTGGGCCCATCATATACCTGCAGAGAGGAGAATGGTGCTGTTCCTCACACAACAAAGATTTTCATCCACCCAATATTCAGCAAGTTCCCAAGAAGAAAATGACCCTCTTCAAACGAGTGAGGGATCTTTCAGCAAATTCCAATTAGAGAGAAACCTCTCATCAAAAGCAGAATAAAATCTCCCTTTCTATTATATACTGTTCACTGTGAAGCTTCCATGGAAGCCATCAAATTCAGCCTATTTCCCCACTACAGGGCTGCTCTTTGAGGACATGGACTGGCCTTCCATGTTAAAAAAGTCCACTGGTATCATCTTGTTCCTTGCTGAGGAATAAACCAACATGATATGCAGGGAAAAAAAAAAGTCTTTTTCTTTTTTGCTTTTGCACCCAAGGAACATATATATTACAAATACTATCAATATGCAACAAAATATGCAATCTTTTTAATATATATTTTATATATTTATAAATAAA